GTGACGAGCTTGGTGTCACCCTCGGTTGGCAAGGTCGCATAGTCCTCGAGGCGCTCGACGCACGTCATGATGTTGTCGACAAACGAAAAGAACATGGTCGTGCGCGAGAGGAACGCCGACATTTGGCCCGCGTACGTGAGCGCGAGGCCGGCGGCAGCAACGCCAATCGACGCTTTCGTGGCGACAGCGAGGAAGGCGACGCCAGCGATGATGGCCGCCGAGACCCAATCGAGGCGCATCTGCAGCCAACGCGTACCGACTTGATAGACGAGGAAGAAGCGCTGGTTGTAGTCCAAGGCGGCGCGGCCCTTGGCGGCAAAGACGCTGCTCATGCCAAACGCCCGAATCGTCGAGAGGCCGTTGATCGTCTCGGCGATGACGTTGACGACCGGCGACCGCGTCGTCGAGTCCATGCGCTTGAGAGCGCTTGCGGTCACGTTGTAGTAGACTTGGATCTTGTAAAAGAGGTAAAAGAGCGGGAGGTACAGAATCAGAATGAACGGTGACGTGGCAGCACACACGACCGCGACGGCGAGAATCTGAAACAAAAACTGGAGAAAGAGGATCCCAAAAAACGGCAGCTGCGAGTCGACTTGGTCCAAATCGCTCGAGAACCGGTTGAGAATACGACCAACCGGCGTCAAGTCAAAGAAGGTGTTGACAGGCGCGCCGAGCACCTTGGTGAAGAGCCGCTGGTGCAGCGACTTGGAGCTCTTGAGCACGATTGAGAGCACGTAGAAGCTGCGGCCCAAGACGAGGAGAATCGCCACAAACGTCATACCGAGGTAGATCCACGCGGACGACAAGCGGTCCTCGAACGCCGCGTGGGTCGACCAAAAGCCCATGAACCAGTCGAGCATCGCGAGCGCCGCCTGCGCCAGCGCGTAGCTCAGCAGCAGCAGCGTCAGCACGAGACGGCCATTGACGCCTGTCGCGCCGAGGTACGACGTATACATGGACGACGCCACCGCACCGACTTCGCGCGACTCCTTGGCGACGAGGTTGCCATCGCCGCTCGGCTTGGCTGCCTC